AATTACGTAGAGATAAAAATTCTGCGCCATCTCTCGTCTAACCACCACGTGTAGGATTATGGCTGTTTAAAGCTGGGACTCACTTGTCTTCATCTATAAACTTCATATCTTCCTTTTCATACCGCACCCTAGAACAGAGAATTATGAAGAAGTTCCTTCTCAACACAGCTGAACAGGTTCGATAATGAAGATTGAAGTTAACAATGATGACCAAGAAAGTGTGGCACTGAGAACAGAGGAACGGGAAAAACCCAAGTGCAAGGGTGGGGACCTCTTTCGACTCAATATTAATCAGAAATTGACTATTACGATAACCCTTGGTATTCAAAAAGATAACTTCTCAATTCACATCAAACAAAATAACTCACGGTTTCTTTTTAGTTGAAGTGAAAGCTGAAAACGCCTCTATTCTTCTAGTCATGACGGAATCATCGAACGTTGTACATTTTCCTGAAGAAGTAACAAGTATCAGAGATAAAAAGAGAAAATTTTTGAACGGGGCGCTTAAGAGAGATACTCCTATTGAGTGAGAAACAGGCTCTAAATAAAGTAGTGTTAAAGTTATACAGAGAAAATTTAGAAATCCAAAAAAGAAAGGGGTGCAGTTCGAGGAAAAGGTATTAGCGCCACACTGCGAAAAGACGAGTGGAATACACAAAAAGTTTTTGTTGTCTTATGAATAGGCAACAGCACTTAAGTTACTACTCCCATTCTGAAATCGAAGATTCTTTAGCGACCGTCTGACCGAATAAGAATACCGCTACGTATCAAACCTGGAAACTATTTCGAAAGCACTCGTCAACCTGATCCCAAACAATCACTGGACGAGCTGAGAGCTCTTGTGAATAATTCCGACAGCACCTCAAACAAAATGGAAATGTCTCAAAAAGGGGTTTGGTTTGGTATCAGCTTTCAGATCAGAACCGCATCGAATGCCTGATCATTGCACTTCCATTTCTTGTGCGAATGCTGGAGAACCTTAGACTGGAATTGAAACAAGAAATGGGTCCACATACAAACTTTCATAGTCGTAACAACGGAGCTATGTAGTATGTTTTACAGTTGATTGGGCATGCGAGGAGCTGTGAACCGCAAGCTCTGGGAACAAAACTCTGACAGTAAACACCAATCTTTTCCACTGCGCATTTAGCTTCTAATGAAACGGCTACCACAGGAATCAAGCAAATCGAAGCGCAAGACCGGAATAATGAGTTCGTTGGAGAAACCTCCCGCTTTCTAGCGCATAGCTTAACAAGGCTACTTCAAATTTCATCTTTTTAGGGACATTCCAAAATTCCAAATGGGCACCAATTGTTGGAATAGATAGAGAAGTGCTCGTTGAGATGTCAGTTCCTTCGTTGTTTCGAGAAATGCAGTTTCCTCCGGAAAGCAGTCCGTCATAAAACAAAAGAATCTCAAGAATGCGAGTGACATCTCGATTGAAAGTATCTTAATAGTGAGAAATACCTTTGCAGCTGGAACCAACAGTGAATTAAAAAAACAATAGAAAGAAATTCTCGAAAGTATGTCGGTGTATCCGCAGGAGGATATCGCGATCTAACGTTTCAGCGATTCTCCTCAAATGTTTGAAATATCATCAAAGCCACTGTTGGGGAGCATGATTGGCTTGCTCAACATAATTACAGCAGTTTCAATAGGTACTCAAACTGATACGCCGACGCTAAATTGCGCCGAGCCTCAAAGTTGGCCTTTTCATATAAACATGCTTTAGAATGAGAAAACAATCATAAAACTTTGAGGAAGAAGAGGAAGAGCTCAAATAGCAAGTTTGAAACCTGCAACACTGGTCACCTGCTGTGATTTCCTACTTTTAAAAACAATAATTCTCATTCAGGAATAAATTTGTCATTCGCCACCTTAAGCCAACTACTTTAAGTCATCCACTACTTCTGTTTTATACTTATTTCAAATATCTACAAAGATACCCAATCTGTAGCAAAATTGTAATACTACAGTCCTGATGCCTTAGCGATCCCTCAGAAATCCCTTCAGAAACGATCGATTTTGTCACTGACATTCCCGAATAGGACAAAAATGAATCAGAATCAAAAAGTGTATCCAAAAATCTTCTACAGCCAAAAAAAAAATCTCGTTTACTTAGATCGCTCATGAACAAAAGCACATCGGGTAATGAAGAGAAAGCCCGTTCTAGCTGACTTTTCTGCTATTATGACTTTTCGAATAATCTTAGTCGACTAGTAATATACCAAATCCTCATTCGGCAATTAATATCATAGGGCCGTTCTTCGTATCGAAATTTCTGCTTACCGATTTTGTAGTCCATGAAGCTGTTGTTGTTATTCTTGATCTCGCCTACCAGCTTTTCCAGACATGATTGCGCAGCTGGCGTTAGCTTTTCTTGTTCACGTCCACAAGTTACCACATCAGCGCCAGCTCCAGGAGATACTCCTCCTGATTCCTATACAAAATTGATGTTCTAATGATTTTCTAAATATCATTAATCAAGATATTACTACTCTGGCGAACTTACTTTACGAGCAAGCTCTAAGTAAAAAGTAAAGAGAAAATTCAAGAGCTTCGGAAGTACTCATTTTGACATTCGTGAGAAAATAAAAGTAAAAACCACCAGATATGAGGTTGTATGCTTACCAAACACTGAACAGACAAGTAACAGAAGGACGACTGAAGTGAGTAAGGTGAAGTAACCCATTTAACATCAGATTAAACTGATTTCACTCAAAAGAGCCATCTTTCCCGTATAAAACGAACTTATTATTTACTATTTTCTAAAGAACGGTTTGACCAATAGCCTGAAATCGAAGCACGCTTCCTTCAAAGACGGTTTTCGCCTTTTGTAAACAACTGAGGTGCNATCATATGACAGGTACTGATACGGTGATGGCGTCGCCATTGCAATATGGTTGAAAAACACAACATCAAGGAAAATAAAACAAAAAAATTTCAATGACTAGTAACTTCCCTATTTCTACCTTGTCACATTTTAAATACGTTTGCTGTAAAGGGCAAAATGAACATGACATCGCTCACATAAAAAACGCTATGCCAGTCGCAGACTAACGTGACTTTTGACACAAAGGAAATGTTTCGTGCAGTGGTGCAAAGAGATTTCATTCGATAGAGAGTGAAGTTGAAGAACAGAGCGGGAGTTTCATTGATTTTCGGTATACCACGTCCACCAGCACTTGCAATTCATAATTACGAAACCTATGCTTTCTATAAGACCCTACCAAATGGGATAAAAGATTCATCACACATAGCGCATGATTTGGACTCTCTGGACCGCTGGTAGTTTCTGAGTCTCATTTTGCTTGAGGCAGCATAATCAGTGCATTTATCGTAGGATTACATGAATTTTGAAAAAATAACATTTAGAAATTCATTCGAAAAGCCGCAATGAATGGCGCAATATCATATGTAACACCTAGTTATTAGTGAAGCAATCGGAGGAGAGGGACGATTTGTTGGTGAATAATGATAACAATTCCATTTCAATAACAGCATACACCCTTTTGATGACAGAATGTCATACGCCAAAAAATCAACTGTTAAAGGCTGAAAGCGGGTGTCAGAAATACCACCGGATATAAAAAGCTTTTTTAATACTAGTAGAGCGTTTTTTAATATTAGAAACAACATGTACATGGGACAAGGAGACAAGGAGATACTTCGTGATAACAATTTGTAAAGGTTGTTGATGTTCGTCGAAAAAAGTGGACCTTCGAATTCTTGGACAATCACACAGGGAACAGTTTGATTATAGTGTGAGAACAACGTGGGTGGCTGCCAAATCTGCAGGCCATTGATAAGGGTTGGGAATGAATTCAACAACAGTATGGAAATCTCTTCATTTTAAACCTCGATATCTTGAGAAAACAAAACCCAGTAGATAAATACTCCCACTCTTTTTGCAACATCGCTAGCAACGAAAACAGATTCACTGGGAGCTTGGTTACTTTCACAAGGACTGATGTATACTCAAGGACACTCGAAAGAAACAATAAGAAATTACTGCTCGAACGTTCAGCATAGCGCTATGTTCGGCGAGAAAACCCCGGAGTAAAAGCGATCCCTAATTGGAGAAGCGAGGAAGCGGCCAATCCGGGAACCACTTATGTTCTAGCGTCAACTTAACAACTATCACTGAAGAAGGAGTAAGAAACAGAACAAAAAAGGAATGCGGCGCAGTTTTACAAATGTTTATCGCTTCAGTAGCTCGTTTCTTATAAAGTGCGCTCTGAGGCAGCGCATACCAGCCAATTTTATGGAGCAATAAAGTTGTTTTTGCAATCACAATGCCATCTTTATTGTGATGAAAGCAAACGTTAATTTGAAAGGTATTTCAGTAACAAAATGAAAAATTAGACTTTACTACGAACTTTTATTGAATTGATAGTGCGTTGAAATTCGTAAGTTGCTTAATAACTTCCACACTTTCTGACTTCTGAAACTGTTATGGTTTGCAGCCTTCCCCCTTCTGGATATTGAACATAAGTGCGCTACTATTTTAATATTGAAAGTAATTCAAAGGGGGGGGGG